TCTCACTAAAATTTAACTAGAAGACAACTTCCTAAACTAGTTCTAACTTCAGAGTATGAGGATTTGTGTTACTTCCAAAACTACTAGAAAACAATATATGATAAACATTCTTTTAAGGAAATATATTGAAAACATCCTACTGCCTAAAAGCAAAGATACCCTGTAAACCAAATTCAGGCAAAGGCAACCCTGTATATTACTGCTGGGAATGTAAAATAATGCAATTGATGTGTAAAAGAGTACAGCAGTTTCTCAAAAATTTAAAAATAGAATTACCGGGGAGAATACAAGATGGTGACACAGGTAAACACCTAACCGCAGCCGCACACAACAATTCCAATAAAATACAACTAAAATACAAAATGGACATTACCCAGAACTACAGGAAAATCGACTGACTGGAAATTCTACAACGAGAAGGAAAGAGAAAACCAGAAGAAAAATCAGAGGAGCTGTAAAAGCCTAAGGTATGGAGACACGTTGCACACACAGAGAGGAAGGAGCCGGAGAGGAGGGGGAGCCTGAGTGCCTGGCTGGTGTTCCCTAGCAGGAAGGAGATAAAAGCTCTGGACTGTGCTGAACCCTACATCCGACAGCACTAAACCCCAATTCTAGGCCAGACCCTGGGGACCCAGGCTCATACAGAGGGAGCCTGGGCTGCGAGGCAGAATCTCAGGGGAGTGGCGAAAGGCAGAGTCCCGGAGTCGCACATATTACGCACAGAGGATGAACTGTTGACTCTGCTGCTGGATTGCCCTGTCGGGAAGGACACAAAAGCTCCGGACTGTGCTGAGCCCCAGTTCCGACTGCACTGAGCCCCAGTTCTGGGCCAGACCCTGGGGACCCAGGCTCATAAAGAGGGAGCCTGGGCTGTAAGGCGGAAACCCGGGGGAGTGGCGAAAGGAGGTCCTGGAGGCGTGCACATTGCACACAGAGAACAGATGGTTGGCTGTCCCGCTGGATTGCCCTGGTGGGAGGGAGACAGGGGCTCCAGACTGCTCTAAACCCCAGTTCCGGGCTCATTGGGGGAGGGCCTAGACTGTTTGGTAGCAGGCGAAACTCGAGGGCACCTTTCTCTCAGAGGTGCTTGCAACGAGTACTGAAGGACCCTGAGGAAATACTGAGACTCAAGAGCCTCATAGGGTGTGGCTATAGGCTCGTCCCTGAAATTCTGCCCCATCCAAGCTGAACACAGAGACTTTTAAGGCTACCAACTCAGGGAAGCTGTGAAAATGCCGAGACAAGGAAACAGATCACAAACGAAAGAATTGGAGGAAAAAAAGTGACTGGATATAGAGTTCAAAACCACGCTTATAAGGTTTTTCAAGAATTTCCTAGAAAAGGTGGATAAGACCTATGAGGATATGAAAAGGGATCACCTAGAAATAATAAGGGATCAATAAGAAATTAAGAATACATTGTCTGAAATAAAAATTATATACAGAGTCCAAAAAACAGAATGGAAGATCACAAGAATCAAGTCAAAGATTTGGAACATAAAGAGCCAGAAGACACTCCTCCACAGAAGCAAGAAGACAAGAGAATCCAGAAAGTTGAAGATAATGTAAGAAACCTCTGGGACAACTTCAAACGAACCAACATCAGAATTATGGGGGTCCCAAAAGAAGAGAGAGAGCAAGATACCAAAAACGTACTGAAAGAAATAGTGACAGAAAACTTCCCCCACCTGGTGAAACAATCAGACCTACAAGTCCAGGAAGCGCACAGAACCCCAAACAAAAGGAATCCAAAGAGGACCACACCAAGACACATCATAATTAAAATTCCAAGAACAAAAGACAAAGAGAGAATATTAAAAGCAGCAAGAGAGAAACAGGTAGTTACCTATAAAGGAGCACCTATCCGATTGTCAGCTGATTTCTCAACAGAAGCCATGCAGGCCAGACGGGAATGGCAAGAAATATTCAAGGTGATGAATAGTAAGAACCTACAGCCAAAAATAATCTACCCAGCAAAGCTATCACTCAGAATCAAAGGCCAGATAAAAAGCTTCACTAATAAAAAAAAAAGCTAAAGGAGTTCATCACCGCTAAACCAGAATTATATGAACTGCTGAAAGGGGTTCTTTCGGAAGAGAAAGAAAATAAAGATAAAAATTATGAACAACAAATACATAACTATCAATAAGTGAATCTAAAAACCAAGGAAATTAAAAAACCTGATGAACAATATTAACTGTTGAATATAATAGAATCAGAGGTATGGAAGGGGAATGGACTGATGATTCTCAGGGAAAAGAGGAGTGGGGGGTGCGTGAAGAGACTGAACATAAACTGTGCACCTATGGATGAGGACACTGGGGGGTGGGGAAAGAGCAGAGGGTGGGATAGGAACCTGGTGGAGGGGGGGAAAAAATGAGGAACTTTTGTAATAATATGAACAATAAAGGTTTATTAAAAAAAAGAAGAAGAATTACCATATGATCCAGTAATTCCACCACTTCTTGCTACGCACCCAAAAGAACTAAAACCAGGGACTCAATAGATATTTATACATTCACATACATGGCAGTATTATTAACAATAGCCAAAGGTGAAAAATAACCCTTTGTCCATTAATGGATGAACAGATCAACAAAATGTGGCTTATATACACAATGGAGTATGATCTACTTTTAAAAAGAACATTGTGACACATGCTACAACATGGATGAACCTTGAGGACATTATGCTGTGAAGTAAACCAGCCACAAAAGTATAAATATTATATGATTCTATTTATATGAAATATCTAATATAGGCAAATTCACAAAGACAGAAAGTAGATTACTGGATATCTGGAACTAGAGGTGAAAGAGCAATCTCCATGTCCTGTTTAATATGTATATTTTCAGTTTGAGATGATGAAAAAGTTCTGGAGATAAGAGAGTGGTCACGGTTACACAACATTATGAATGTATTGTATTTAATACCAGTGAAATGTACTCTTAAAAATTGTTAAAATGGTCATCAGAGCTGAATGGCTCAGTTGGCTTGAGTATCATCCCATACACCAAAAGGTTGTGGGTTCAATCCCAAGTCAACACGCATACAGGAGGCAACCAATCAATGTTTCTCTCCCAGGATTCCAACCTGGGAGAGAAACCAATGATTATAAATCTAAGAGATAACCTTAAGCCCCAGCTTATTTAAAAAGCAGGATACGAACTATAGTTTTTTTTCTCTTCGCCTAAAAATTCCTTGATCCACCCTCTCTTCCATTTGTCTGCTTTCTAAGCAGAAATGCTGTACTTTTTGGTAAAAGTTAAGCCTTTTGTCGGTGTCCTTGATCTCAAAACATCTTGCCTCCTCTGGGCAATTAATCACTCTAATTTTTAAGCTACTACTCTACATGTTTAAACTATCTAATGGATCATTCCTGTTTACAAAATATTGTATACCAAGTGCTAATGCTAAAAATATCTTTTCCTAATGGCTACTCCTCAAAATGATCACTGTCTCACATCCTGCACAAATTCCTTGAAACACATTCTATTTTATTCTTCTAGCTGTATGTTTGTAAAACCATTTACTTAAACTCTTAGGATTCATCCTGGTCTACTCAATCTGTTCTCTGTTCAATAACCTCTTAATTAAATTCAATGGCCCCTTCTAGGGTAATAAAATCCTTAATCTTTCTACAGTATCTCTTTCCTCTGAAGAGATCCTCCTTAAGACACTTTATTGTGCTTGAGAGAAAAACACTACAGGATTATGGTTTCCTTCATGCCTTTCTTATTTTTCCTTTACTGATTCTTTTTTAACAACAGCCACTTCCTAAAGTTCAGTGCTTTACCTTTTTTTCTCTGCTCTCTGCTAAGATACTGGAAATTTATCTATTTTCAGGGCTTAAACACTGTGAATTTCTCCTAATTCTGTATCTTAATGCCCTAAATTATCTTTTCCTAAATTTCAATCTCATATATCCACATTTAAGGAGATAATTCTCAAAGTTCTATCTGTACCCCCAAAATACAAATATGACTAACAGAATTCATTATGTTACAGTCCTACCCTCTGAACCTCTAATACCAATCTTTCCTCACAGTTTCCTTACTTTCCTTTTTCTGTTTATGGAACCATCATGCTTCTAACCACTGAAACATTTATATGACTTCTTTCTTCCCTATTCCCTGCCAAATCTACCTATGAAATCTACCCCGCAAAATGAATTCACAGATCAATGACTTTCACTCCTACTACTCATTCAGGTGGTCCTTATTTCACTTCTTCAGCATTTATCAATACTGTACTTAACCAACTAATTTCATAGCTATTTGTTAACTCCTAACTTGCCTGCTAGACTAAAAGCTCAGACTAGCAGGAAAGATAACAACTTTGGGCAGGAATGTCCATCCTTGTTAATAACGAGGGTGTTAACAGTATAATCACGTTATTTATCATCCAAATCAGTAGACTTGAGAGTAAAAAAGGGCAATTACACAGTATTATGTGTTAATTGTATTTCAAAGTTGGAAAAACTAGTGGGGCATTAGTTGATCTATAAAAACCTTAAGCCAGGATATATATGGTCACACTGACTGTAATTCTAGTATTTAAATAATTGCTGCATCCTAAGTACATACTATATGATATTTAATAAATGAATCAAGAGCTAAAATATTCACTTTATCATCTCCTTATTCTTTAATCCATTGCAAGTTTACTTTCAGCCACAAACACTATCCTGAAATGGGCCCTGCTAGAACCAGCAATGACCTTCTTACTGCCATATTCAAAAAAGTTTCTTTTGTTTTCAATTTACCTCTAAAAAGTTTTCAACACTACTGGTCCCTCCTCTCTCTTTCATGAAGCTCTATTAACTCTGTGGTAAACTAATCCTAAACATACCACTGTCTTAAAGCAAGACCTAGTATCCCCCAGCTCCCACCCCAAATAAACTAAAAGATTTAGAATCTAACCAATATCCACAGTTTCCTTCTATATTTTACTTCTGGAAAAATAATGTAAGTAATCAAAGATACAAAATTGAACACTTACCTTGAAATGGTAGCCCCCATTTCAGTCTTTTAGGAAAACAGATGGCATTACTTATTTTTTTAAAGTGAAGTTTTCATGGAAGACTTTATCAGATTGGAAGATAACTCTACAAAAAAAGTAAAGATAAAAGATATTAACATTAAATGTGCTAAATTAAAAATAAATTTTATTACTTTTATGACATTTAATTGCTCAGAACTATATCCTCCTATCTAATTAAGGGGTAATATGCAAATTAACGATCACTGTCACAAAGACGGTGACACTCAGTTCTCTCAGCCCCACCGGAGTCCCCCAGTCCCAGGGGCGACCACTGAGAATGGGTAGCGTGAGTGGTCTGGCGGAATGCTTGCTTTGTCGCCATGGCAACGAGGCAAGTGTTTCGTGCCTGGCTGTGGATGGGCCTCTGGGCTGTGGGCATGGAGCAGCCAGGCCCTGCAGAGAGCTATTGGTACATGAATTCATGTGCAGAGCTTCTAGTTTTTTAATATGGGGGAAATGTAAAACACACATGAACCACAACATTAAAATTATAGAATGTTAGAACTGGGAGGGGTTTAAGTGGACATTCTATCAACTAAATGCTCTCCTCTTTTTTTAAACCTTCCTACATTAATAAAAGACTAATATGCAAATAGACTGAATGACAGAACAACCCATCGCTATGATGTGCACTGACCACCAGGGGGCAGATGCTCAATGCAGGAGCTGCCCCTTGGTTGTCAATGCACTCCCACAGGGAGTACCCCTCAGCCAGAAGCTAGGCTCACAGCTGGGGAGCGCAGTGGGGGTAGTGGGAGCCTCTCCCGCCTCCATAGCAGCACTGAGGACCCCTCGGGGGATGTCTGACTGCCAATTTATGCCCACTCCCTGTGGGGAATGGGCCTAAGCTGCCAGTCAGACATCCTTAGTGCTGCCGGACACCCTTAGCACTGCCACTGAGGTGAGAGAGGCTCCCACCACAACCACTGTACTCACCAGCTGTGAGCCTGGCTCAGAGCTTCTGGCTGAGCAGCGCTCCCCCTATGGGAGCACACTGACCACCAAGGGGCAGCCCCTGCATTGAGCGTCTGCCCCCTCGTGGTCAGTGCGCACCACAGCAACCAGTTGTTCCGTCAACTTGCATATTATCCTTTTATTATATAGGATGTGTGTGTGTGTGTGTGTGTGTGTGTGTGTGTGTGTGTGTGTGTGTGTCTGTCTGTCTATTTCAGAGAGGAAGAGAGAGAGAGAGAATAGAAACATCAATAATGTGAGAGAATCTTTGATTGGCCACTTCATGCACCCTCTGGGGCATGTGCCCTGACCAGAAATCGAACTGTGACCTCCTAGTTCATAGGTTGAGGCTCAACTACTGAATCACACCAGCTGGGCTGCTTTTTCAATTTAATTTTTATTGAATTTATGGGGGTGACATTGGTTAATAAAATTATATAGATTTCAAGTGTACAATTCTATAGTACATGATCTGTATATTACATTGTGTGTTCACCACCCAAAGTCATTATTACTTTTTGAAAAATAACTGTCACATATGCATATATTTCTAAATTATATTTTATTTGCTTGTGTCCCCTGCTTCCTTTTCAGCTTGATAAATTGGTGTGCTATATGAATTTTCCAAAGACTTGAATTTTTTCCACTCAATTTTTTTCTATAAGTTTTATTCATATTACATTTTCATTGTTCTATAGTATTTTATTATACAAATATGCCACAATGTATTTAACCATCCTGTTGAAAGACCATTTGGATGGTTTATAGTTTTTTGCTTTTATCAACATTTTTATACAAAGAAGAATATCTTTAGGGCATGCTTTAAACATAGACATGAAATTGTAGGGTTATAAAACATGCAAATAACCAACTTTACTAAATGCCAAATTATCTTCCAATTGTATCACTTTACCAATTCACCAGCAGTGCATGAATCGATAACATATCCTCTCCAAATACTTGGTAAAGTGCAATTTCTTAATTTACCAATTATAGAACATATAAAATGGTATCGCACTATGATTTCAGCTATATTTGCTTGACTAGGTTGAAGACCTTTTCACATGTTTATTAATTATCTAGGTTCCTTTCCACATTTGTTTGGTTAAATTTTGGCCACTATTATTGAGATGTTGTTTCCTTATTTTAGGAGACTTTACATATTCAAGATGAGTATTGACTAAATAACTTGCAGAGCCCAAAGTAAAATAAATTAAAAATTTTAAGAGTGACAGCACAGCATTAAAATAACATGGGGTTCTGTGTGACTGCACAGACTGCACATCTATAAGCCATCCCTGTTCAGGACCCTAATTCTCTATTATGTATAGTATTTTCTTTCCCCAAGTTTGTGGTTTATCTTTTCATTGTATTTATGGTGTCCTTAGATGAACATTCATTTTAATGTGATAAAAATATTATTTTTTTTTTTAGTTGACTCTTCTGTCTTGTTGAATTCTTACTGTTTTCATAAAGTTTTATAGCTTTGCCTTCCAATTTGAGCTCTAAACCATGAGTGTTTCCCAAGGATCGAGTTCACAGCCTTCTCCTCTCAGCTGTTATGTCCCATTCTCCACTGATGACATTTTATAGGACTTTGTAACCTTGATGATAGCATCCTAATCAATATCATTTAATTCATTTCTAGGCAAGCTCACTCAACTCAGGTTAGAGTTTGTACTACACACCAAGTTTGCAATAATTTATATTTGTCAGTACTCCATGTCAGGAATTTTACGAAAGAAGTTTAAGCATTTGGTTAGAGCAGTTTACATTTAAAAGGAGGGAGCGAAGACTGAAAAATCTCAAGGCTATAAAGTACAGCATAGGGAATATAGTCACTAATCTTATACAATAAAAGGCTAATATGCAAAATGTCCCCTTGACTGGGAGTTCAAACAAGGGATGGGCCAGCTGCCCCCACCCCCCAACTGGTGCCTCCTCTCAATTCCTGCCCCCCAATTGGGGGCAGGGCTGGCCGGCCAACCTACTGCGTCTCCTCACCCTAGCTGGCCCAGCCCTATCAACCAGATCGGGGTGGGCCAGCCAGACCCCACCCATGCACAATTTTGAGCACCAGGCCTCTAGTATTGTAATAACTCACTATGGTACCAGGTAGGTACTGGACTTACTGGGGCAATTACTTCCTAAATTATATATAAATTTCTAACCACTGCAATGTACACCTGAAACTAATATAAAAATATTATATCTAATGTGGAATTCCTATTATAAGGCGTGTGAATTTCCATTGCTGCACATCCTCTGCAAGCCTGGGTATTGCTAGTTTCTTTAATTTTTATCTATTTTGATGGGTACACAGTGGTATTATTATGATTTTAATATTTATTTTCTGAAGTACTAATAAGAGTACCCATTTTTCCCTATGATAATTGGCAATACTGGATATTTATTATTTGTTTAGAACTTTTCCCACCTAGTATATTGTTTCCCCCCCCCTCCCCACGATAATAAAGTTGTGTGAGTGGATATTCATATGTAAGGTCATTGATAACATTTTTTATACCTGAAGAATTATTAGGAACTTTAAGAATAAATTACTTTTTTAAATTCTGTGATGAAATCAGAGTAATTTTGTGGACTATCTAAGAACAGTAAGCAATATACTTACATTCAGTATTAGCTGATATTGTGGCAAATCTTTCTTTTCCCTCCCTTTTTGAATAGACATTTTTTAGAGAGCAGTTCTAGGTTCACAGCAAAATTAAGCAGGAAGTACGGAGTTCCCATATATCCCTGCCCCCACACACACAGCCGCCCCTACTGAGTTTACTGATTTCCTTACTTTTGAGAAATCTAAACGTCGTTTCATGGTTATGTCACCATCTCCCATTTATTTAAAAAAAAAAAAAAAAAAAAAAAGTTCCATCACTTCAACATATGTCCATATGTGATGTTTTTTATTATTTATTTACCACAAGTAAAAGTCAGGAATTGTTATCTTTCTTTTCAATTTTTTTTTACTGTTTCACTTCCTTACTGCTGTGTATGTGCTCCATGTGAATGACGTAGGTGCTTATATGTAGGTGGGTTCTGAATTATGACAAAAATTTCGTTATGTCACGCCATAGGAACAGATCTCTGATATAACCTGAGGACCTACTGTACTACCTAGAGTACAGTTATTTGTTCTGTGTGCCCTGAGAAAAATGATACCTTCCAAGAAGGACTCACTGCCTCTCTATTGTGCCAGAGCAACCAGAGTGTACCTTATAAAGCAAAAAACAGACTACTCCAATACCTTGTTTAAAACCTTCCAAAAGCTTCCCACAGTAACCAGACCTGATTTGCAACTAGGACCTATAAGCATCCTATATGATTTGGTATCTATGTCTACCTATGACCTCATCTTCCACTCTCTTCCTCATTCACTACTCTCTAGCCATACTGGTTTTGCTATGCCTTTGTCACATATTTTGCTCCTACCTGAGGGCTTTTGTACTTGCTGTTCTTGCAGCTTGGAATGTTCTGCCCCAGGTCATCCATCTAACATTCAAGTCTCAACTCAAAAGTTACCTCTTTTAAGGGTTTTAGTGTATCATTACAATTAAGATAAAACCTGGTACTGTCAACAATATAAAGTTTAAAAGTTAAGTAAACTTTAAAAATTAAATTAAAATATCTTTAAAGATAGTAGCCTGGGTCATTCTTATGAATAAAAAAAGGGTTCTACAGAAAGTAACCTGGCAGAGTGACCTAATCATAAATTCCTTACTGGGCAGGTCATGGTGGATAGTCACACGCCAGGCACATAACTTCTTTTTATTAAAAAATGGTTTGTTTTTTATTTATTTCAGAGAGAAGGAAGAGGGAGAGACGGAAAGAAACATCAATGATGAGAATCACTGACTGACTGTCCCCTACCTGCCCCCAACTGGGAATCAAGCCTGCAACCTGGGCATGTTGCCCAGACCTGAAATCAAAGGACGACTTCCTGGTTCATGGGTAGTCGCTCAGGCACTGAGCCACATCAGCCTAGGCCATATAACTTCTCTAGCAAAAGGTTTATACTTGCTTTAAGCAAGCCTTGTCCACTGTCTGTGCATCTAGCTCAAAGGGTGCGGCACCTTTTTTCTGCCAAGGGTCA